AATTCTTCCTCGTAGTCGTAGTCTTGTTTGTCCTGTTTCAACACTCTTATTGTTCGTGTTACGTCAAATCAACATTTCTTATTGCTATTGTGCAGAATGCATTCCCTTCTACATAACTTTGTTTTTGGGTTTTAGGATCAAGAAATCATGTAGAACGCTGCACCCCACATATTCTGTGTTTGCCCAGTCCGTTAAGTTGGGGCACTTTCTTGTTTCTATGTATCAGTAAGTGCAATTCAATTTGACGCATCGTGTGAATAAACTCAACATCAAGGGGTGCAAGGACAGAAAGCCTGGAGCTAGGAGGTGGCACGCTAACTCTTAAGTTGTGGCACTTTTTGTATATATGTGTCATTAAGTGCACGTACTTGATGTATTATGTGAATAATTTCTTTGTCATGGGGTGATGCCGTGAAAGCTTCGAGACAGTTTGTGTTTACATCCCCTTAAGCAGAGGCATTGTACTCTCTAAGTCTTTCAAATATAAATTTTTAATTAATTGGGACACTGGAAACTTGAAAGTTTCTACTTAAACGTTACACGTAAGAGCTCCCTAATTCGACTTGATCTTACATATGCGTACATGGGTATTAGGAGCAAGAATTTGCGGTACCTCTAGGCTTGGATGCTTGCTAAAGGCCAAATATTAGTTTCACCCCAAATGTTCCTGTTACGTCAGATCGGAGACTTTCTTGTTGATTCTAATCAATCGCTAATTTGACTTTGTGTTAATGAACAAATTGTTCATGGGTTTCATGGGCAGAAAAATATGTGATTGCAGTGTTCGCACATCAGTTAAAATGGGTCACTGCCTTGTTAATATATATCAGTAAGTGCGCTCCTTTTGACTTGTGTGACACATTACTCGTCACTTTAAGGGATCCGGAACTAGGAACAATTGTCTTCAGGTATCGAAACGTCGTTCACCACATCGCAGTTTGCACAACAAGTCATATTGGGACTCTCTCTTGTTAATATGTCAGTAAGAGCTCTCTAATTTGACTTATTGTATTAATTAACCAATCATCGTTCATGGATTTGAAGGGACAAAATCTTTTGACTTGCAACACCGTATCCCTCAACTGTTTTATTACATCATTTGGTGTTTGCACGCTAAGTCACGTTCGTGCACTATATTGTTCTACTTTTCAGTAAGTGCATTAAACTTGCCTTATTGTGTAAATATGCTATTCATCGTGTCTAGGGGCAAGAGAGCAAAGTTGTGATGGTCGTTAGTGGCACAGTCCTTCCACCTACCAGGTATTGCCTGGGCCGCCATATTGGTTGATACAGTTAGTTCTGGATTTATTTACTGGACTGTGAATTGAATTACGAATAGTAAAAACTTAACCTAGACGTACGTGGTATTGGAGAGTTAAATCAATGGGGCCAGAACCGGTAAGTAGTTTAGGTACAGACCTACCATACACGTTACATCATTCAGTGTTTGCTCGCTAAGTCACGTTCGTGCACTGTATTGTTTTATATGTCAGTAAGTGCTCTGAACTTGCCTTATTGTGTAAATATGCTATTCATCGTGTCTAGGGGCAAGAGAGCAAAGTTGTGATGGTCGTTAGTGGCACAGTCCTTCCACCTACCAGGTATTGCCTGGGCCGCCATATTGGTTGATACAGTTAGTTCTGGGTTTATTTACTGGACTGTGAATTGAATTACGAATAGTAAAAACGTAACCTAGACGTACGTGGTATTGGAGAGTTAAATCAATGGGGCCAGAACCGGTAAGTAGTTTAGGTACAGACCTACCGTACACTTTACATCATTCGGTGTTTGCTCGCTAAGTAGTTTAGGTACAGACCTAACGTACACTTTACATCATTCGGTGTTTGCTCGCTAAGTAGTTTAGGTACAGACCTACCGTACACTTTACATCATTCGGTGTTTGCTCGCTAAGTCACGTTCGTGCACTGTATTGTTTTATATGTCAGTAAGTGCTCTGAACTTGCCTTATTGTGTAAATATGCTATTCATCATGTCTAGGGGCAAGAGAGCAAAGTTGTGATGGTCGTTACTGAGGCAGTACTTTCACCAGGTATTAATAATCATCAAGGATAAGAGCGAGAGAGCAAAGTTGTGATAGTCCTTAGTGGCACAGTCCTCCCACCTACCAAGATTTGCGTGGGCCGCCATATTGGTTGATAGTTAGTTCTGGGGTTTATTTACTAAACTTGTTCATGGGTTTCATGGGCAGAAAAATATGTGATTTCAGTGTTCGCACATCAGTTAAAATGGGTCACTTTCTTGTTAATATATATCAGTAAGTGCGCTCCTTTTGACTTCTTGTGTGAACACATTACTCGTCACTTCAAGGGATCCGGAACTAGGAACAATTGTCTTCAGGTATAGAAACGTCGTTCACCATGTCGCAGTTTGCACAGCAAGTCATATTGGGCCACTTTCTTGTTAATATGTCAGTAAGAGCTCTCTAATTTGACTTATTGTATGTATTAACCAATCATCGTTCATGGATTGAAGGGACAAAATTAGTTTGATTTGCCACACCGTATCCCTCAACTGTTTTATTACAGAATAGGGAAATCCAATTTTTGATGTCTCCCAATTTGGTGAAATCTTTTGTTCTGATTGCACATGTTCCAAAACCGAGCTCTCTTGTGTTATTTATAAGAAAGAGCTTCCAGTCTTTTTATCAGGTAAGCAGCCTAGGTACAGACCTACCGTACACTTTACATCATTTGGTGTTTGCACACTAAGTCACGTTCGTGCACTGTATTGTTTTATATGTCAGTAAGTGCATTGAACTTGCCTTATTGTGTAAACATGCTATTCATCGAGGATAAGAGCGAGAGAGCAAAGTTGTGATGGTCCTTAGTGGCTACGTTGGCACAGCCCTCCCACCTACCAGGTATTGCGTGGGCCGCCATATTGGTTGATACAGTTAGTTCTGGGGTTTATTTACTGTACTGTGAATTGAAATACGAATAGTAAAAACTGGGTTAAATGAACCTAGACGTACGTGGTATTGGAGAGTTTAATCACATGGGGCCAGGGCCAGTAAGTAGTTTAGGTACAGACCTACCGTACATTTTACATCATTTTGTGTTTGCACGCTAAGTCACGTTCGTGCACTATATTGTTCTACTTTTCAGTAAGTGCACTGAACTTGCCTTATTGAGTAAATATGCTACTCATCGTGTCTAGGGGCAAGAGAGCAAAGTTGTGATGGTCCTTAATGACTACGTTGGCACAGTCCTTCCACCTACCAGGTATTGCGTGGGCCGCCATATTGGTTGATACAGTTAGTTCTGGATTTATTTACTGGACTGTGAATTGAAATACGAAGAGTAAAAACTTAACCTAGACGTACGTGGTATTGGAGAGTTAAATCAATGGGTCCAGGACCGGTAAGTAGTTTAGGTACAGACCTACCGTACACGTTACATCGTTCAGTGTTTGCACGCTAAGTCACGTTCGTGCACTGTATTGTTTTATATGTCAGTAAGTGCATTGAACTTGCCTTATTGTGTAAATATGCTATTCATTGAGGATAAGAGCGAGAGAGCAAAGTTGTGATGGTCGTTATTGAGACAGTACTTCCACCAGGTTTTAATAATCATCGAGGATAAGAGCGAGAGAGCAAAGTTGTGATACTCCTTAGTGGCAACGTTGGCACTGCACTTCCACCTACCAAGAATTGCGTGGGCCGCCATATTGGTTTATAGTTAGTTCTGGGGTTTATTTACTAAACTTGTTCATGGGTTTCATGGGCAGAAAAATATGTGATTTCAGTGTTCGCACATCAGTTAAAATGGGTCACTTTCTTGTTAATATATATCAGTAAGTGCGCTCCTTTTGACTTCTTGTATGAATTACTCAATCATCGTTCATGGATTGAAGGGACAAAATTAGATTGATTTGCCACACCGTATCCCTCAACTGTTTTATTACAGAATAGGGAAATCCAATTTTTAATGTCTACCAATTTGGTGAAATCTTTTGTTCTGATTGCACATGTTCCAAAACCGAGCTCTCTTGTGTTATTTATAAGAAAGAGCATCCTGTCTTTTTATCAGGTAAGTAGCCTAGGTACAGACCTACAGTACACTTTACATCATTCGGTGTTTGCACGCTAAGTCGCGTTTGTGCACTGTATTGTTTTATATGTCAGTAAGTGCATTGAACTTGCCTTATTGTGTAAATATGCTATTCATTGTGGAAGAGGACGAGAAAAGAAGTTGTGATGGTTCTTAGTGGCAACGTTGGCACAATGCTTCCACCTGTCTGGTATTGCGTGAGGACTTGGAGAACGAATTGGAGAATGTTTCACTTTGTCAAAATGTAATTGTCTTGTTTAAACAAATCCCTTTTGGTGTTTTATTCCCTCGATATCCCTTTAGCTTTGCTTTCTATTCGATGTTTGCTTGGTGAGGGCGTTAATAAGATATTGCCCATGGATTCATTGGGTGGACCTTTTCTTACAGATTATGAAGACCGTGTTTTTGAAAACCTTTTTTTAAAATATAATTTTAAATTTCTACTTTTCATTGGCCATTTCCATTTAATGACCAACCTAATTTTGAAACCCGGTGGCTGGGCAGAGGCATTTTCCTTGTCAATAATCTGAGCAAGTGCCATCTCGTTCAGCTCACTGTGTGGACAAAATATTCACCAAACCGCAATGCTGACCAGTGACCAGAAGACGGCATCGATGTTATAATGTGCTTTATGGAGGTTGGGGTACAATATCTCCAACGTGTTTGATACAACTTATGTGTTTTAAAAAAAAAAAAAAATGCTATTTATTGTTTTTTTAAAATGTCTTTTGCTTCTGTCTTAATACCTGTAAGATTGGTGTCACACGGTGGCTGAACTAGGACACTTACCTCTTTACTAATGTGAGTAAGTGCCCGCTAGTTTAGCTCACTGTATGGACAAGATACTCATCATTGATCACCAACAGCCAGCAGAGGGCGCCGATGGTAAAATGTGCTTTATGGGGGGCTATACTATGTTCACTGTGATTCATTGACTCTGAACTCAGAACAGCCAAACAGCAGCAATTATATTTATTTTAAAAAAATTAAGTGCTTACTGTTTGGCTAATTTTGGGTTTCGGGACTTCTGCGGATATCTTTATTTAACCCTGTGCTCTGCATCTGTATGATTTTATTATCTATTTTGTGTGAACTTTCTGATTATCAATAAATGATCAATAATCAAGTCTTTGTGTATCAGTCTATTTTTGGGTGATATATCAGTAATAATGTCAAGCTGTGGTACAGTTTGTGGCTTTCGCAGACTGGAGGTTTATTTCGGGAGGGGAGGGGAAGCTTCACTTAGAACTGGGAATTAGACTGCTGATGGAGGCATAGCTTGTTTGCTGAAGGCAATTAAAAGGGAAGCATCATTTCCCAGGATTTTTAATATTGTTTCCTTTTTCCTATATTTCATAAATATGCATTTTTGACACGTGAAAAAATAGGGTTAAATTCTACCGCTCTTTATCCGGTAACTGGGCGCCACCATCTTAGCTCCCTGTCAATTATTGTTATAAGCTCCGCCCTTTACACCTGGCAGTCAGTATAGAGAGAGCCACCTCCATCTTAGCTCCCTGTCAATCATTGTTATAAGCTCCGCCCTTTACACCTGGCAGTCAGTATAGAGAGAGCCGCCTCCATCTTAGCTCCCTGTCAATCATTGTTATAAGCTCCGCCCTTTACACCTGGCAGTCAGTATAGAGAGAGCCGCCTCCATCTTAGCTCCCTGTCAATCATTGTTATAAGCTCCGCCCTTTACACCTGGCAGTCAGTATAGAGAGAGCCACCTCCATCTTAGCTCCCTGTCAATCATTGTTATAAGCTCCGCCCTTTACACCTGGCAGTCAGTATAGAGAGAGCCACCTCCATCTTAGCTCCCTGTCAATCATTGTTATAAGCTCCGCCCTTTACACCTGGCAGTCAGTATAGAGAGAGCCGCCTCCATCTTAGCTCCCTGTCAATCATTGTTATAAGCTCCGCCCTTTACACCTGGCAGTCAGTATAGAGAGAGCCGCCTCCATCTTAGCTCCCTGTCAATCATTGTTATAAGCTCCGCCCTTTACACCTGGCAGTCAGTATAGAGAGCCACCTCCATCTTAGCTCCCTGTCAATCATTGTTATAAGCTCCGCCCTTTACACCTGGCAGTCAGTATAGAGAGAGCCACCTCCATCTTAGCTCCCTGTCAATCATTGTTATAAGCTCCGCCCTTTACACCTGGCAGTCAGTATAGAGAGAGCCGCCTCCATCTTAGCTCCCTGTCAATCATTGTTATAAGCTCCGCCCTTTACACCTGGCAGTCAGTATAGAGAGAGCCACCTCCATCTTAGCTCCCTGTCAATCATTGTTATAAGCTCCGCCCTTTACACCTGGCAGTCAGTATAGAGAGAGCCACCTCCATCTTAGCTCCCTGTCAATCATTGTTATAAGCTCCGCCCTTTACACCTGGCAGTCAGTATAGAGAGAGCCACCTCCATCTTAGCTCCCTGTCAATCATTGTTATAAGCTCCGCCCTTTACACCTGGCAGTCAGTATAGAGAGAGCCACCTCCATCTTAGCTCCCTGTCAGTCATTGTTATAAGCTCCGCCCTTTACACCTGGCAGTCAGTATAGAGAGAGCCGCCTCCATCTTAGCTCCCTGTCAATCATTGTTATAAGCTCCGCCCTTTACACCTGGCAGTCAGTATAGAGAGAGCCGCCTCCATCTTAGCTCCCTGTCAATCATTGTTATAAGCTCCGCCCTTTACACCTGGCAGTCAGTATAGAGAGAGCCGCCTCCATCTTAGCTCCCTGTCAATCATTGTTATAAGCTCCGCCCTTTACACCTGGCAGTCAGTATAGAGAGAGCCGCCTCCATCTTAGCTCCCTGTCAATCATTGTTATAAGCTCCGCCCTTTACACCTGGCAGTCAGTATAGAGAGAGCCACCTCCATCTTAGCTCCCTGTCAATCATTGTTATAAGCTCCGCCCTTTACACCTGGCCATCATTATAGAGATAGAGAGCATTCAGGGAGGGGGAGGAAAAAATTAAAATGAGCTATGTATAAAAAATCAAGTGTCCTGAAAATGGTAAAAACGTGAAGTCACAAGAGCTATGTGTCTCCCATGTTTCTTTTTCTCCTCCAGTGCAAAGTGTGCCAGGCTGTGCCAGGACTGAACTGGATTGTGATGTCACTTACTATATATTTCTATATATATATATAATCTCGATAGAATAAATTCCAGAAAAGGGTTTCCTCTATAACGCCTGTGTTCAGAGCTGTCCTAACGCATGGGCACGCTGGGCAACATTTCATTATATTATTTTGGGAGATTTTTTCAGAACCTTCAAGCCCTCTTTAATAAGACGTTTAGGTGGACTATTCATACATGAAGAAAGCAACGTACATGTATTTTACGTAAGCAAAGACAAAATCAACACTCATCATTTTTTGAAGCCGTAAGGCTATAATAACGTTCCTCTAATATCTTTAACTGGCCACATCCGTTGCCTCCCCCTGCTTGCTTCTAAACATTTGTGTGGATTAATCTTTGCTGTACCTTTTTACTGTTTAAACAATGATTTTGTCGGAGGTGCCAATAAATATAATCTTCATGTTATTGATAATTTACACTTGTTCATTCCTGTGAGTGGCGGTGTAGACAGGGCTCCTGTGCTCTGCTTGCCCAGGGCCTACAATGCTGTTAAGATAACCCAGCCTGGGTTGAAGTGTTTACGGTCAGAGTTTGGTCACTGATAGAATAAGACCAGTGTACCTGCACTTTTTACAAACTAGACTGATATCAACAAATTGATAACGCGAGATAAAATTAATTACAAGTCAAGGAATGACTTTCATTGGAGTCAAGCGTCCTCTCGAATGCAAAATCCCAATCAGAGGTTTCCACTAGACTATGTAGTGTCTGGAATTCAGGAGGGAATAGTACCTTTTATGGAAACGTGGACCAATAAAAATGGGGAAAATGCTTATCTCTGTCTGCAATTCCCGCTTAATTCCTTATAATTGGCAGTTTAGTGAGAACACTGTAAATGTACATCTTGTGTAAGGTTCATTAAGAAGCAGATAACCGCTGGGATTTTGAATTGGTCTAAAGGAACACTCCAGGCACCATAACCACTACAGCACACACAACTATAAGTTGCAGTGCCCTGGCCCACCCTAATTTTAGAATGGTTTAACTTTTACTTTGGGCCAATGAGAGAGCCCTGCACTGCAGGACATGGCTCAGGAGAGCGAACGGAAGCTCTCTATTGGTAGGAGTGGAAACAAGAGCGGAGCCCAGTGATCTCAGGGTCAGAAGTCCAACCTTTCTAAATTGGGTGCCAGGGCACTTCTGTCACTAAAACCCCTGCAGTGGTTATGGTGCTCAGAATGTTCTGAAAGATGGAAACCATCTCTGCTGCCTTTAATAAACGGAGTATCTCCTGGTTAAAAGATTTGCAAAAAAAATTAATTACATTCCCTACTCACCTCCTATATTCTCAGTTTAAATAGTTTTCTGAAAGCAATGGGAGAAGGCCTCACCCTATGTAAATCAATCTGTAAGTGGTGCTTATTGAATCACCGTGAATTCTATAGATGGAATATTCCATATAGCAGGAGTTTGCAATCAAGGCGTGGGCTACGTAGAGGAGCAGCCGCCAATGATTCTCAATGATTTAAGTTAGCATAAACCCAGCACGGCTTTCCGTCTCCCCATTGGTAGAACATTTTGTTACACACCAACCATCAGTTTACAATAAATGATTGTCACAAACTAAACAACAATTCAAAACTAAAAATAGTACAAAGCAAATGATTACAGCGGGAAAGCAGACACAGATATAGGATCCAAAATGTTCCAAAAGGAACCAGCCTCGCCACTGGGCATTGGAGAAGACTAATTGCCAGCCTCCTGCCCTGTGACTATGGCCTCATGTTAAAATGCTTGATTTTCCCCTGCAAAGACCCGAAAGCCGGGTCATTCAGTACTTTCCCTATGTGAGCAGTGTTACCCCAGATAGCTATGCCATGGAGCCCATTTGTATAACGAAAGACTATGGGAGAGACTTTGGCTCCATGGCAATTGAACTGTATGTATGTGATCTGAGCGCCATTCAGTAATAATGTGCGCTCAGATCTAAGCTATCTGGGGATATGTTGAATGTACCTGTTTTATGCAATAACTGCACAGTTATATATATTTTATGTATTTTGCCACCATGTGGCTAATGGAGTTTTGCCTCTGTCCTTGGAGATAATTGGATTACTTCCCAATTATCTCCAGGATAGAAGACTCTGTGGAACTGGTTTTGGGCAGAAAAGCCATGCTTCATTTGGTCAAAAAGGGACTTTCAACTAATGCTTGACCCATTGGACCAATTTGTATGATTTTGACGTATGTTTGTATTTGGAGTATGCTGATTCTGAAAATGTAAGTTTATGTGAATGTGATGCATACTTTTAGAGTTATGAATATTGTGTAAAACTATGTATTTTCCTGCCTGTGATAATTAAGTTAGACCATTGTGTTCAGTAATTATATCACAGGAAGAGGGGATGATTTTGTGTGGGAGTGTCTGAGTGTATTGTACGTATTGATTGGTTGTTCTGCAAAACCCTGTGGGTGGTACTGTGTGTGTAGAATGTGAATAAAAGAGGCTGTATGTGCCAGTACATACAGTTCTATTTCACCCTCAATCTGAGTCCTGTCTCTTAATGGGGGAATCTGCTACAAGGGATTGCTATGCTCTGCATATTCCCTTGCTATAATCACTGAGCTCTTGTAAGAGCTTGTT